GAGAGTCACGGTTTTGCTTCCGCGGGAGGCACGGTTGTGTTTACGCGAAAGTCACGGCCGTGCCTCTTGGAAAGAGAAAAAAATACGCGTTTTCAGTTTTTTTTCTTTCGCGAGAGTCACTGTTTTGCTTTCACGAGAGTCACGGCCGTGCCTCTCAAAAACAAAAAAAACGTGTTTTCTATTTTTTTTTTCCTTCCACGAGAGGCACGGTTGTGATTTCGCGAGAGGCACGGGCGTACCTCTTTCGGAAAGGGAAAAAAACGTGCTCCCGGTTCATTTTTTCATCCGATTTTTTTCGTGAAAAAAAATTCGTCAAAACCTATCAACATGGAATCTAGTTTTGAAGATTTCGACGCGAGGAATCCAATGGTGAAAACGATTCGAAATTTGGACGCACGGTTTAAGAGATAAAACATTTTGAATAAACGGATCTATGAAAAAGGAAAACTCTCAGGTTGCGATAAGTGGCGCGCTGCCTAGAAAGTGGAGTATTCTTTACAACGAATACTCCTTAATTAGTGATTTCGATCGTTTCCGACACCTCTCTCCAACCAAGTACAAGTAGTAGTAACATGCATGGCCCAACGGCCCAAATTTTCTGAAAAAGTAAATAAATGTTCAATAGGAAAACACAACGTGCATTGTTTCCCTTTTTCGTATGCTAATATTTTTTTGTCAAGGGGAGTATTTGTATTGGGTGAAAGTGTCTCTGGGTACCCTACCTAATATTGTGAAAGAGCTAAAATAAACAAATAAATAATACGGGTTGGGTGTCATTTCCCTAATAGAGTATTTGTATTGTGGTAATAGTTTTTTTTTTCTTCACATTTGTGGTGATAGTTTTCAGTGCACTGAAAACCACAAAGACACGCGATATGCCATTTTTCATCGATCCAAAAAAAAATCATACCGTACCGCATTTCAAGTTTTTGGCCATAATGCTGGCCATCCACGCAACACCATATTTCATCGCTCCGTTTGAGAAAAAAAATGGTCTAGCCATAACATACATAATGAGTTGCCCTGTTGCAACTTTTGAGTAGTAAGCAGCTAGACAAGATCCTTCATCATTCTTTTCTGTAATAAGAACCTGAATTCGCATTCCTCAAGCCTTGAACCAAGTTGGTTGGAATGCACCCACATGAACAGTAAATTCCAGAAAATTAGTATACAGATAAAAAAGTTCTAATCTTTTTGGGATGAATATCACCAATGTTTCCAACATCCTACACAGTTTTCACCCAAAAAACGCATTTGTAGAGGTGTGTGCCAAAAAAGCACTGCTCCCAAATGTTTTTTTTTAGCCTCAATTATTTTTGTACTAGCATCCACGGATGTCATTTCAAGATGAAATTTTGCAGGATGTTAGAAATTTGTTGATGTGCATCCACACAAAAAAAAACAGTTCTTTATTTTGTTTTATTTAATATTTAATTTTTAGAATTTTTGAGCTCGGGGGCAGATTATCCATGTCCTACATACACTCCCCTAATCGAGTGAGCTAGACTCACTTCTTAGCTTCCCCCTACTACTGAAATTTAGTTACCGATGCCGGGTGTTTACGTCCACCTGCCACTACTAATCTGGGCCTAGGTTAGCCATGGGCCAAAATTATCAGTGGCAGGTAGTTGCAATTATTTTTTTAAGGGAAAGAAGGAAAAGGCAGATTCAAAATCTTTTTTCTTCGGACTTTCCCAAACACAAAATACCTCCTTGTATTCGCACTCTCAAATGAGAGTGGAATAAATTCGACTTTCATATAATATCTTAATAGAATTCCATGTAATGATCAATGCATTTTTTTGATTCTATATTATCCGCATGTGTAGAATACTAGCAAGAGAATATCCCTCCTTTTTTATGTAATTGAAATGGTATTGACGAATAACAAATAAACATACTAGTGTTTATTAGTGTCGCATAAAACCCGAAATGGGGCGTGGCCAAGTGGTAAGGCAGCGGGTTTTGGTCCCGTTACTCGGAGGTTCAAATCCTTCCGTCCCAGATTGTTTCAACAGTGGAGGGCCATTTTACCCGTCCGACATTGCTCAAATATGTAGGTATTTTGGCTTTGTGCATTTTGTAGATTTTAGTGTGTTATTTTTTATGACCATGATATTGTATGAAAAATGGTTTGAAGTTTATATGTTTAGTTGTTGCCATATTTTACAATTTTATTAATTAATTTGTAAAATTTGAACTGCGGGTACATTCATTTTTTTCCAAAGTTTGGAAGAAAGACCCTAGATATGATAGTTAACATATTTTTATGTCCCATGAAACAAAAGTTTGGTACTTTTAAATATGTATATGTGAAAATTCAAACACAGAAACTTAATCATAAGGGACTGGCTAGGAGCCAGTTGACTGAAAACAAAAATTGGTTCAGACGATATTACATCTGCCTTTATTTCAGATCAAACGGCAAAAACAGAACAACAAAGTTAATAGAATCAGAGTATTTAACAAAAAACTACCACATTTCGTGTCTACAAACTACCACTTTACAAATTTGTGCGGAAAATTACCACTTTTTGACTAATCTTTGATTAAAAACTACCATATCTGGAAAGTGTCTGATTCACCTCTTCTAAACGCCTTTCTGACAAGATGGGCCCACCTGTCAGCATCAATCTTCTTCCTCTTCCTCCTCCCTATCTGGCATTTCCTTAAACACATCATGTGCACTTCGCGCTCTTCTCCATGGCGACGTCCCGGCGAAGCACCTCTCCAGCGCTAGTCGGGACTGCAGACGGCGGCGCAACCACATCGGCTGGAGCTTCCTTGGTCGTGCTGGCGTGCCGCGGCCTTGCGTGCGTGCGCAGCAGCCGCCACCGCCGCCGCGTGCTGGCTGCCGTCACCGCGAGCGTGCGTGCAGCCGCCGCCGCTTGCTGGCCGGCTGGCTTGCGTGCGTGCTGGCTGGCCACCGCTCACGGCTGCCTCCGCCATGGGCGGCCATGGCTGGCCACAGCCACGGCAGGGGCCGGCCACAGCAGTGACGACCGGCGGCGAGAATTCCGGCTGCCCCACGTCGTGTCCAGATACCCAACCCTCTCGTAGCTGCAAAACATCACAACGGTTAGATAACACAGCATGGTAGTAGTGTTAAGCTACTCTTCATGAATTGGATTACGATGGTCACCTGGGGAGCAGCTTGTTCAGGAGGATGCGGGTGAAGGTCGACTTGCCGCTGTTGGAGGGGCCGCACACGAGGACGACCGGAGACGAGAGGTCGGAGGCGATGACTTCGGTGGCCAGGGCCCAGTCCTCGGGGACTACCACTTCCGGCGCGCCTGCTCCGGCGGAGGAGCTGGCGCTCGGGCTTCGCATTACCTGATTGCTTTTTTAGCCCACTTATGTGTAGGCCCAACTAGTTAGAAACGTGTTTAAAAAAGTTAAATCGGGCTTTATTCAGACTTGGTAGTTTTTAGTCAAGGATTAGTGAGAAAATGGTAGTTTTCGGTTTAAATTTGTAAAGTGATAGTTTGTAGGCACAGTTTCATGAACTGAGATAGATTTTTGTTAAATACTCATAGAATCGACTGACCCAAATCTTGAGTCAGTCGATTATGATCTTATAGGCCAGCCCAACTCTGTTTCTATTTTTTATGCACTCTGTCTGCGAACTAAAAACACACAATGGGCTGGTCAAAAGCAGACCCGTTACATTTTAAAATATTGAAAAATTGTGTATTTTTAAAAAGTTGTACATTACATTTGAACAAATATTCATGAGATTCAGAAATATGTTTTATGACATTTTAAAAAAATGTTTGTACAATGTAAAAATATGTTTTCATAGTTTTAAAATATGTTTATACAATGTAAAAATTTCTTTATATAGTTTAAAAGATTTGTAATGTGTGTTTGAAACATATTTAACATGTATTCAGAAAAATGTTCAAAAACATGTATTTGAAAAATGTTAGCCATGTATTTGAAAAGGTCTTTTAGATGTATGCAAAAAAAGTACAATGTGTATGAAAAAAGTAGACATTAAACATAAATCTGAAAAAATGTTGGTCATGTATTTGAAAAATGTTAAACGTGTATTTAAAATGTTCCTGGTGTATATGAAACACATACAATGTAGTATATGAAAAAAATTAACATGTGTTGAAAAGAAAAAGAATGGACAAATAAAAATGGAAGGAAAACTGGTGAAAGCCAAACACAACAATTTCATGACAAGAAGAAAATTACTGAGGCGAATTTATTATGCTTGACAACTAAACTTGTCATTCTTATTAAACATAATTTGCCATGTTAAAAGTCAGATGTTCGCTAGATATTTCGGTCCTTGATCAACAAGCACAGCTAGCTCAAGAGAATATAATGTATAAAGCGTGAGTCACGCACCTACGCACGGTTTGCATATTCTAACTCTGCTTCGATCGGTAAGCTTGCTTGTTATAATTAGAGTAGCTACGTAGGCTTTGATGATAGGTAAGGATGCAATTCATGCATGGCTAAACAATCTAATCTTCTTGTGGCATCACCACTTGACTAATTAATAAGCATTTCTGTATGATCACTTGTCCATCGCCTCACCACTCTAATCTAACCCAATTCATCATCTCTACACACCACATGTATGTTGTCATGCTCATGCAGGGTATTTGATCACCAGCTAGCTAGATCATATCACCAGCTAGCTACTCCCTCCGTTTTTAAATATTTGTCTTTCTAGACATTTCAAATGACTATTACATACGGATGTATGTAGACATATTTTAGAGTGTAGATTCACTCATTTTGCTTCGTATGTAGTCACTTGTTAAAATGCCTAAAAAGACAAGTATTTAGGAACGGAGGGAGTAGATCACAAGGATAGCTAGCAGGGTATTTGATCAGATCAGATAGCTAGCAGCCTAGCAGGGTAATCAATCACCAGCTAGCTAGAGCTAGACACCTAGACCTAGTCAATGTCCTCATCCGTGGCGGTCCAGGCCACCGCCACGCCGCCGACGGAGTCCATCCGGGAGCTGCGCGGGTGGCTCATGGTGCTGGCCACCCTCATCGCCTCCATCACCTACGCCTCCGGCCTCAGCCCGCCGGGCGGCTTCGAGAGAGTCAAGACGCCGCTGCTCGCCGACCCCAAGAGGCCGCCGGCCGCCTCCGGGACGCAGATGCTCCCCTCCCTGTACCTCGCGAGCCCGGCGAGGTGCAGGGTCTTCTACTACGCCAACACGGCCGCCTTGGCGCTCTCGCTCTCCCTCATCCTGCTGCTGGGCAGCCAGGACCTGCGCCGCCTGGCCAGGGTCAAGGCCCTCGACCTCGAGATCCTCGTCGCGCTCCACGTCGTGGCCCTCCTGGTGGCCTACCTCGCCGGCGCCGGCTCGTTCGGCGACCTGCAGCTCCTCGTCTGCGCCGGGGTCGTCCTCGTCGTGCCGCTGGCCCTGGTCGCCATGTCGTCACGCCTCTGCGGGAACTACTTCTGGGATGAACTCTGAAATCTGAATTGGTTTAGTCACCCTCGATCGATGCTAGAGCTAGATCGATCAATGATTTGACTTATTTTGTACTACACTTGCTCTGTTTTCATTGGCCCACTATACAAATCTGAATTTGTCTTATTTGCTTTTCGCAAATTTAAATATGGCCCGAAAAGCAAATAAGACAATTTTTGATGGGCCATATATTACACTTGGGTTCTCTCTCCTCCTCTTTTCCCACCGTGCACGCAATTAGGGCGAACCGTCGTTCCCCACTGCCAACGATGTACTATAGTTTTTCCTCAAGCTTTCTCATCTCCACAATGTAGCCATGGCTCATGAGGCTAGGGTTTGTAGGGTATGTCAACACTATGGCAATAGCGATGACAATGGTTTCCTCTGCAATTTGGTACTCCAGCCTCATCTGGGTCACGTCGGTGCATCCTTGTAGGAGCCCCACAAGGGATAACCCTTAC